ACTGAGAAATGACTTACAGGTATAATTAAAATACACAATCATTTCACCACTACAAACCATGGAATTTAAAAATCACATGAACCTTCAGCATCTAGTCCACTATGGTTCCTATCAAGAACTTTATGTATAATCCCAAGTAAGAACAAGGAAAAAGCATTCTTACCGATTCTCATAAATAGTGCTAAAAAATTTACAAATATTTCAACTTCTTTCAAGGAAAAGATAGCACCACTACTGTACATAATGTATTTCCAGTATCGTACTAGCTGATCAGATATCATTCAAATCTACAGAAACTTTCCCAAAAACTATTCTGAGTTTCACAGTATTAATTCAATCAACAAGTCATTTACAGAAATTATAGCATAGACAATAAATATGATCTCCCTATTTTGTCCAAAACCCACTCCTCAAACAAAATTCTCTATGCTTCAAATGAAACTAATCAAACTGTCACCAAAAGAAGGAGAAAATAAAAGATGAAAAGAAAGGCAATACTTATGTCTGAAAAATAGTAAATAATATGTGAAGATAAGAGAACAAATTAATAAATGGCATCAGAAATTTCATGGTATAAATAATCAATGCAAATGAACAATTTAAATCTTTTGATTGTCACCCAAAAAAAAAAAAAAAAATCTAAGGAGCAATTCAAAAAACCAAAATAACCGAAATATATTGAATGGTTTGCTTACTTGCCAAAGCCTGCGATAGCCGCTTCTACCAAATAATAACAGAAGAATCGATTGTCTAGGATACAAGCCAATTTTGGATAGATAATTTAAACTCCTCTCATGTTTATGGAATGAGAATTTTTCCAAGAACAAAGACTTATACCGCAAAAAATTAAAAGATGATGTCACGTTTAACGCACATTGTAATCAAATAACATATATAAACGACCTTTCTTAAAGATAAAGAGGTACTATAATTTGATAGCAGATATTGATAATATTTCATAAAATATGATTGCAGCAACACGCAGTTCATGAGGTTCACAACAGTCACACACCTGGCATACATGAAAAACATGACACTTGAAGAGGGTCTCAACGGTTTGGATGTTGGGCTCGATTTCAGCACATTGTATAATGTGAATGAACTTTTTGGTGAGCGACCAAATTAAGGCAACCATCCTGAGGTAATAGGAAAAGGCGAATAAAAAATTTGAACTACTTTCTTATTCTATTACACATAAAAAAAAGAAAATGTCCGTAAAACGATATGCAAAAGTGTGCAGCTAAATATTACACTAATTACTTAACAAGCAGATGATATCAAATCACCAGGATAAGATTTTCCCTAAATATTTTCAAACTTTAGGAAATCCTATTCAATGAATTTAAAGCATTTGTCGATTCCGTTCAAATACTTTATCCAGGATGATGCATACCAATCCCTGATAACATTATACACATCTCACACCTAAATTTTTAATGGGTATACATATTAAAACTATAGGAAGTACAATTGTTTAGAGTCGGTCAAAGGAACATTCTAGTTTCCCCAAACTCTTTCCCACACCAACATGCATCCTCCTCAAATCCGAAAAGGAATAACAACTTTATGTACCAAAATGATACTTATTTGAAAATTTGAACATTTTAAGATCATAAAGACAAGCCAATCTTAGAGTTTAATGATATTTATGAGTTTCATATTCTATAAAATCTATCAAAGTTCTAATATAATGTATATGTATAATGCATCTGTACATTTTGTAAACAATACACTCACAATGACGTAATGTTGAAATAAAAAGACTAAAGAAGCAGCTAAAATCATGCTTTATATAAATAATGCCAAGATGGTATATGCTATTTTAGTCTCCATCCTTACTAAAAGTCAGACTCATCAAAGCAACGCTAGGTCTCCCACCGTTCTAATTGTTTCACCATATATTTAAAATGTAAAATTAAGTTAACTTAAAGTTTTGACAGAAGAAATGAATATCAATAGCTAATGACATCAAGGAAAAAACAATACAAAATTATGCTCAAATCAAAAGATAATCATGCTCATCAATTTTAATTTAAAAATAAAGAATAAGAACAAGAAGGCCGACACATATACCCAATTGCAATAGCCAGCAAATTAGAGGGAAAAAACAGTCAATTTCTGGCTGAAACTTTCATATCACAAGACAGTCATACTAAACAATTTTAATTTAGAAGTTAGAAACAAGACAACTGACCTGGGTCTCATGCTAGTTCAACTAGGGATGCAGTAGCCATTGTCTTCACTTTACCTATTACTTACATTTCTCATGGCTCAAGCTCCCATCTTCTATCAAATCCATCTAGGAGGTAAGACCATACACTCATTTTACATTCATATTGCCCAAAAAAGTTTCTCAGAGGGTTTAGGTGGAGAACTTGATTCCGAGGATTTAATTATCAAATTTGTAGAATAGACCACAGTTATAAAAGCAATGTATCTGGTAGTGGATAGGGCATCTGAGATAAGTGGAAAAAATGACAGCCATCCCCAGGCCATTGACTGTTTGTCGTCCATGCGGCAAAAATTTAGCAACTGGGCTCTCAGACTAGCTCTTTGAGCCTCCGTCTTTCTAGTTTCTTGAGACACAAGGGAAAACATGTGAATTGAAAACTGCAAAGATAGGAAAAGGGTTGCAAAAAATTTTCCCAACAAGCTAAACAGTACTATCACACTATTCATCTTCATCAATTTCGAAAATTTGGCTCCTGAATGAGCTCTTTGTGTCTTTGTACTTATAATTTCTTTAGCCAGATGGGCAAACATGTGCTTTTCTTCCTTAATTTCAGCCTCTGTTTTATCTGCATTTAAAATAAAAAAGGACAGGATGAAGGTCAGAACTATATCACAACATATTATTAGCACCACACAATTAAAAGGGTTAGGCACTTTCAGCACACAAGACCCGTCAACTGTCTTCAGTTCTGATATCTTAAGAGCAATAACATGTCATTCACAAGAAACACCAAAAACCTAAGGTAAGTTCGTTCCATATACCACTCAAAAACAAACAGTCCAGATATACTAACCACACTATATTAGAACCAACATTTTCAAGTGGATGTTGCCAACCAATCAACTGCTGTTAGCTTAAACAAAACAGGAACCTGAACAGTCACCACCTACATGACCCCAACCACGGAAATAAATGAAGATTCGCAACATAAAAAAATATAAACACAGACGTCAAAATTAATATAGCGCAATCTATGCAGAGCAGTTATACTAAAGGAAGAACTATTAATAGTCTAACAGCTGAATCAATAGCTACGTATAATAAAAACTCATACGTTTCAATCTCAAGATTATGAATCTAAAATCAATAATTCAAATCTCATAAACATCACCGCATCAAAGATATTATAAAATTAGAGGATATTTGACCACTTGCAAAGGAGAACACTAGAGGGAACCTGGTAACTTCGAGCAAGTCCTTGTAGCACCACAACACAGTAGGCTCTGCCTTGGCCACCGATTTGAGAACCATATGGCTTAAATTCACAATCCATCTTGATAGAAAATAATAATAAAAAAAGATATGGAATGAACTGAGTTCACCAAACACTAACACAAAAAATGGAAACACAGGAAAAGGGGGATTAAAGAAAAGATCCCATATAGAGACACGCGTGGGCACATGTGTATCAAAATAGGGGTGGAGCTTACAAGCCATGGGGTCCGCATGTCTCTGGAGGCGGATCCCAAGCAGTCACGACCACGACGAGTTTCAAAGAGAAAAGGGAAGAGGAGAGTCGATTCTACTTCTAGAGGAGGCGCTCTGGTGAGAAGGAAAAACTCAGCGGCAGCAGCTCGCAGCTCGGCTTCAACACACCGAGGGAAGATCGAAAGGCCGTGTGATGGTCGAATAAATGGCAGAGACGAGCTGTTGCCGTACGGTCGCGTCGAGGCCAATGGCCTACCACGGCAAAAGTAAATTAGACGATTATTTGTTTGAGATGTTGGGTGACATTTTTTATTTTTATTTTTGAATTTGAGATTTTTTTAATATTTTTAAATTTATAATGAATACTATGAAATCTTCTTCTTGCAAGAGTGTTTCCATTGTGACACGCATTCAAAGAGAAATTGTAAGGAGAATTTATTTTGTTAAGAGAAATTGTAAGGTATTTATTTTGTTAAGAGAAATTGTAAGGAGTATCTTGCAAGTCTGAATCGATCATGTATTTATTTTGTTAAAGTTAACTTCTAGTTAAAGATTTTTTTTGAGTATGAGATACGGTTGTGACTTACATATTTGAAATGATTTGAAGATAGCTGCAAGAAGTAGGAAGTAGGACAGTAAGAAAACGGTAATTAGGATAAGTAATAAAGCAAGAGTTTCTACACTAGCTATAGGGACTATTTATCTAGCTTTGAATAATGATGTTAGTTTATGTTAGAACAATTGTTTTATATTTCGGATATTATAAAAAACAGTATCTCTAATCTGATTTTGGATAGAGAGGATTTTAATTTTGTTAATGAAAATAGATGTTGTTCCATTTTCAAAGATACTACTTTTATATCTTCTTTCATTTGACGAATGATTTATACATTGTTACATCTCAAATCTCATCTTAACTTTCTACAAAAAAAAAAAAATTACATAATCATAGTTTGTTTGCACTTTGGCATGCTAGATTGGGTTACATTTTTTAAAATAGGATTCAAAAGTTGTGACCAAAACTTGACCTTAGAAAAGAGGATAAGTTGACTACATTTGAGTCCTATCTTAAATAAAATTGACAAAATCATCAGTTGTTGGACAAGTGGAGCGAGCTATAGGTCTATTGGATTTGATTCATACATATATTTGTGGACCACTAAATGTTAGTGCGAGAGGGAACTATCACTACTTCATAACTTTTATCGATGATTTCTCTAGCTAGGTTATGTATACCTTATGAGGCATAAATCTGAAACTTTTGAAAAGTTCAAAGAATTTAGATGTGAGGTGTAGAAAATTTGGTCGTAGTATTAAGAATATTCGGTCAGATCGAGGAGGTGAATACTTGACCACCGAGTTTCTTGATTATCTAAAAGAAAATGAGATTCTCGTAGTGGACTCTTCATGCTACTCCACAGCTTAATGGAGTTTCAGAATGAAGGAATCAAACCTTGTTAGACATGGTTCGATCAATGATGTGTTTCACTACTTTTACCTCTTTCATTTTGGGGCTATACCTTAGAGACGACAGCACATTTATTAAATGGGGTTCCAGGTACAGTCGGGCCTAACAAACCTTATGAGAAGTGGTGTGACAAGACACCTTCTTACAAGTATCTCAAAGTAAGGGGGTGTGCTGCTTACGTCGTCAAGTGGGAGATAAGTTAGATATGAGATCCATCTTATGTAAATTTGTGCGATATACAAAAGAGTATATAGGATACTTTTTCTATGACCCCTCCGAGCAGAGCCGGCTTTTGGGGGGAGCAGGGTGAGCAACTGCACAGGGCCCCCAATTAATTGGGGCCCATTATATAAATATTAAAATATTATATATATAATAATATAAATAAAAAATATAATAATATATAGAAAGAGCCTTTTGTGTTTTGTCTATCCGGGGGAGATTCTTTCCTACTTGAGAAGTGGAAGTTGTTATTAATAAAATATTAAAAATATATTATTCAATATTGTAATTAGGGGGGCCTAATTTTATTTTTCGCTCTGGGCCCAAAAAATGTTGGAGACGGCCCTGCCTCCGAGCATGGCGTGACATTAATCTGAGTTCTTGAAGATGCTCAGAAAATCACTCCTTGAAAGTCTTGAACAATTGCTCCTCATCCAGAATAGGTAGTTCGTCGCCATAATCATCATTGTGCATGTTGGTTTGGTCAGCAACGTCATCATCGTCACGAGCCCACCTAGGACCGCCTAGACACCTGACTGATTTTTTCAGTCGATTCATGCAAATCGGAGGCGGTCGGGGGGCGCCTTGCGTCTTTGCCCATTATTTGTACAATTGTTGATATTGGATATGTCTAAGTTATTATTATTTTTTTACATGAAAAATCAGACAACCATAGCTCTGCATAAATCATGCAAATAATATGAAAAATATTTTCGGTAGATATGTGATTTGTGATATGGATCAACAAAAAATGGCGGATAGTTTTTAATTATACATCTTTCAATTTGTATATGCGATTATATTACGCTTAGTCGTTAATTATATGTCGTTATAGATTTGGATATGCGAACCATAAACTATGCGAAAAAATATTGCACAATCATAAAAAATACGACTATATACGATATCTAAATATGCAATACTTTCACACATATATTAAATTATACTATGGATTTAGATATGCGATTATAAAATATGCAAAAGTACGGATATATATTAACTATGCGTCCAATTTAGATATGCGAGTCGTACACTTTGTGAAAAGATTTCACATAATCACAAATATGCAACGATCAATTTGGATATGAGATAACTATATATATGCGAAATAGTTTTTGCATATTTTTTAGTTGGATAATCATAAATTATGCGATTCATGAAAATGCGAACATGTTATGTATAATCGTTAACTATACGACGTTACATTTTTGGATATGCGAGTTATAAACTATACGAAAATATTTTGCATAATCCTAAAATATGTGAAGTTTGATTTGGATATGCGATAACTTAATATGAAAAACTTTCTCGCATATGGTAAATTTGTGGTGTATTTGGATATGCGATTTCATAATATGCATAAGTGTTTCGCATACTTGTTAAATATATGTCTGATTTGGATATGCGAATCGTAAAACTATGCGAAAGTATTTTGCATAATACTAAAATATGTGACTATCAATTTAAATACGCGATAAATATATATGTGGAATAATTTTTCATATCAAAAATTATGTCGTAGAATCCATATGCTAAATATATATGTGGAATAATTTTTCATATCAAAAATTATGTCGTAGAATCCATAATTTTCAAAAATTATGTCGTAGAATCCATATGGATTCGATAATATTTAAAAATTATGACTAATAATTTTTCATATTATTTACCTCTTCATCATTGAAATTTATTTCCAACTATTTGGCTTTGAATTTACTTTCAAATATACGAACAACCCTCAATGTCAAGTATAACTTGTTTTTTGGAGAAACTGAATTAAAAAAACCCTACACGAGCGGCATATTATATGGTGGAAAAAATGAAATTAGTTGGAATTTATAGATTACGGATTGAAAAAATTGCTAAAAGATGTGGTAAATGATTTGTGTAATTGATTACTTATATAGATGTCATAAATTATTTGTGTTATGTGATATATGGTTCTAATTAAAAAAATCGTTCAAGATTTGTGATGTTTCTATTCTGTCCGACTTATTTTGCGATAAGATAATAATGAATCTTTGAGATATGTTTTACTATCTGCTTAGATTTTATTAACATAAAATGAGAAATATTCAAGTCCTTTAAGAATTGTTTTAACCGGATATCCTTAAAATTATGTAACCAAATTGCGAAAGAATTTTTTGTAGATATAATTGAATCAAATATTGCAATAAGAATATAAAATAATTTTTAAGAATGATTTATTTTTTTGTTATAAGTGAATGTTCCCTAAAAATTTGGTAACGATGTATTAGCTTTTTTATTATTCGGTGGCATGTGAAATTGAAATTCTTTGACATGTGGTTTATTTATTTAGATGTGTTTCTATGAAACAATATGGGTAAAATTAAATTTGATTGATGTAGATTTATATTTATTATTCATTCATATAATTATTTAATTAAATAAGTTCATTATTTATTAGTATGTAAATTTGAATGGTGGATTTATAATTGGTCAAATAATATGTAAATCAAAATTTTGGATTACATTTGTGTTAATGTGTGCCATTTTATGCATGTCAATTACAAAGGACAAAATTTATATAAAAGAATATTTCAATGTTTGTTTGATTATAGTATCCCAATGTATTTGTGAAAAAAAATTATACATTGAGTTTTGTTTAATTGATTATAAATAATATTTTAATTATAAATTAGAATGAGAGATAAAGTTTCACGGCCAAACGTTTTCTGTATAGAAAATATCTCTACTAATTATTCAAATAAATTTCAGATAAACATGGTATGCTTGATTTATTTACAAACTAAGTTCTCGACCAACCAACCAAAACTCTAATTTAAAAATTTAAAATATTAATAGATACCTTTACAAATAGAACCGGATTTCAAGCAAATTTTGCATAGAAAATCTGTACCATAAATAATTTGAAATGTCGCAAAAGAGTATACGTAATTTATACATAAATAATTTAAAATTAGCGAATCATATATATTAAACACGTTAAGATCAAGAGCCATTAAACATTTGAATTTAAATCGGATTACCAAAAGAAGTAACTCAAAAGCTTTAACCCATTTTTTTAATCAATTTTCCACAAATGATTTTTCCATCAACCTTTTTCAATATATATAGATTCTATTAATTTTCATAATATAAGTTTATTTATTTTATTGTCTTTTTACCATCGTGCGCCATTTTAAAATTGTATGTTTCCTTAATATTAGGTAAAATATGTCAAATCGGGGTCCATCTGTTTGTTTCAATTAAATTACCACAAAAAAACGGATAAATAGAGTTATGTGATATTGAATGTCTTTTAAATCTGAATGTCTGACCTAATTGGTTATGTTTGTTACCTTTAATTGTTTAGCTAATTATTTTTTTTTTTTTTGCAATTTACTTTTAAAATATATTTATCTAACGAATTACTTTCGTTTTTATTTTCAGGAAATACAAAGATTTTCGGATTGAATCGTATTGGTGGAATTTATGTTATATTTTGTAATATTTTTTAGGCATGGGATAATCAAAATTTATCGTGTGCGATTTATTTTAATTACATTTTAAAAAAAAAATTAAAAAATTAGATCAGATTAAAAGCAACATTATG